GCAAATTTAGGCGTGATCTAAGACAACATGACCTAGATTTTGTAGGTTTCGAGAGAAAGTGCGAATCTTTGAGGCATGTTTTAATTAAGAATCACGTGCTTGATAATTTTTATGTTTTAATTCGGAATAGAGATATTGGAATTAGAATATAGAAATAGATTTTATTTGGTGCTCGAGAGAGGGAAATAGAATCACTTTAGTGTTCTTGCCTATAAATTTTGGAAAGATCGATAGAAATAGTTATACGGGTGAAAAACATTGTCGAAGGTATGGTGAAATCATTCCCTAGGTATTCAAAATTTGATAAGAAACTTCATAATTTGCTCCCATTTACTTGCGTTGTTCAGTCCATTTATTTTAATTTAATTTAAAAATATCGTTTCTCATTTTGATCGTCTAAATAAAGTGAGGGCTAAAATAATTATAGTACTAAATTAATTCGAATATCAATCCCTGTGGGTTCGACATCCTTCTTCAAAACTATATTACAAAACTTGACACCGTACACTTGAGGTATAAAATCACGTTGCATAAATCGTGTGGCAAGCTTTTGGAGCCATTGCCGGAGATTGATTTATTCGAATTCAATTGATATTATTATCAATCAGCATTCATTTTACTCTATATTTTTATTTTTACCATAATTTTTATTTTAAGTTACTCTTTTTGTGTCTATCTTTAAAAGCCTCCTTATGATTATTTTCAGCTGTTTATGCGAAGGGCGAGAAATCTAGATCTACTACCTGTTGATCCTGAACCAAAACGCACATTTCGCATTCTCAGAGGCATGCAAAGAAACAAACGGGAAGCAATGGCAGAACAGGATGCTAGAGTAGCCAATGAGGATAACCAACAAAGGGCTATTCGGGACTACATAAGCCTGGTTGTCAATGACAACTATTCTGGCATCACACACCCAGCAATTGCTGCAAACATTTTCGAATTGAAGCCAGGGTTGATACATATGGTGCAGCAAAATCAGTTTGGGGATGCTGCAATAGAAGATCCAAATGCTCATCTTGGATCCTTTTTGGAAATTTGTGATACGGTGAAGATGAATGGGGTTACTGAAGATGCAATTAGACTCCACCTATTCTCATTCTCTTTAAGGGATAAAGCAAAGGCTTGGTTCCAATCACTACCATATGGCTCAATTACAACTTGGGATGATTTGGCTTAGAAATTCCTCACCAAGTACTTTCCACCTTCTAAATCAGCTCAACTTGGCGGTGAAATAAGCCAATTCAAACAACTCGACTTCGAGCCATTCTATGAAGCCTGGGAAAGATTTAAAGACTTGCTTAGGAGATGTCCTCAACATGGGTTCCAGAAATGGGTGCAAATTGAGATATTTTATAATGGGCTAAATGGCCAGACAAGGACTATGGTAGATGCAGCTGCGGGAGGCATTTTAATGGCTAAAACAGCAGAGGCTGCATATGCTTTATTGGATGACATAGCCACTAACAGTTACCAATGGCCAAGTGAGAGATCGGGTGTAAAGAAAGTAGCAGGACTTCATGAAGTGGATCCCATCACTGCACTAGCAGCTCAGGTTGCATCACTCACAAATCAGATAGTCACACTTACCACTCAAGGAAGTCAACAGAAGGTAGATTCAGTCATGAGTACTTCTTCTTCACACCAAGAGACAGAGGTTGCAAACGATCAGGCCCAATATGTCAACAGTAGAAACTACAATCAAAGAGGAAGCTACCAAGCTAACCACTATCATCTAGGGCTGAGGAATCACGAGAACTTGTCATATGGCAACAATAGAAATACACTTCAACCTCCACCCGGATTCAACACTCAGAATTCTGATGGGAAACCACCATTGGAAGACATCCTTGGGACATTCATTTCTGAGACAAGATTGCGCTTCAACAAAGATGAATCACGTTTGGATAATATTGACACACATGTGTCCAACATGGGAGCCACAATGAAGAATCTTGAAGTGCAAATTGACCAATTGGCTACCTCAATGAAATCTCAGCAAAAAGGAAAATTTCCAAGTGATACAGAGGTCAATCCAAAGGAGCACTGTAAAGCTATTGTATTAAGGAGTGGCAAGCAAGTTGGAGAAAGTGAACTCACTGAAGATAGCAACCCCACACCTGATAAGGAGAAAGAACAAGTAGTAGAAGAGCAAGAAAAGTAGGCCAAAGGAACAAATAAGGCCCACAAACCTTACTCTATATCCTTCCCTGACAACCTACCAATTCTCACACCACCACTTCCATTTCCACAGCGTTTTCAAAAGAAAAAATTTGATAATCAATTTGCAAGATTTTTAGAAATTTTCAAGAAAATTCACATTAATATTCCTTTTGCAGATACTTTGGAACAAATGCCAAATTACGCAAAGTTTATGAATCAAGTGATGTCAAAGAAGCGAAAATTGGAGAAATATGAAACAATAAAATTGACAGAAGAATGCAGCGCTATTCTTCAAAAGAAACTTCCTCAGAACAGAAAAGATCCGGGCAGCTTCACTATTCCGTGCACCATTGGAAGCTCTTCCTTCGAAAAGGCCCTTTGTGATCTAGGAGCAAGCATCAATTTAATGCCGTTATCAGTATTCAAGAAGTTAGGCCTCAGGGAGGTCCAGCCAACAACAGTAACTCTACAACTAACTGATAGGTCCCTCACCTACCTACGAGGAATTATTGAAGACGTGTTGGTAAAGGTCGACAAATTCATCTTCCCAGCTGATTTTGTGGTATTGGATATGGAAGAAGATCAGGAAATTCCACTGATTTTAGGCAGACCATTTTTAGCAACTGGAAGGGCATTAATTGATGTACAAGGGGGACAATTGACATTGAGAGTGAATGAAGAAGAGGTGAGGTTCAACACTTACCGAGCAATGAAGTACTCAGATGACAATGACACTTGCCACAGGATTGACTTCATTGATTCTGCTGTGAGAGATGAGAAATTATGTATCGAAGATCCTCTAGAGCAATGTATGATGTTTAGTACAACAAAGGATGATATTAGCACTTTTGGAGAGTACATCGGAAGCAAGGATTTGGTTGATTACATATTGGCTCTTGAGTCTACATCAGTTGTGGAAAACCCATCACAATGTGAGGATATTCAACAGTCAGAGAAAGCAGATGACAAAGAAAGCAATGAAAGCAGTAAGATTGAACTGAAGCAACTACCAGATCACCTTCTCTATGCATTCCTAGGGGACAAGTCTGCATTTCCAGTAATTATTTCTTCATCACTCACCAGAGACGAAGAGGATAGATTATTGAAAGTGTTGAGGGATCATAAGGCCGCTTTGGGATGGTCAATAGCTGATATCAAGGGGATAAGTCCTACAATCTGCATGCATAAAATCCTCATGGAAGAGTCTTACAAGCCATCCATCGAACATCAAAGAAGGTTAAACCCAGCAATGAAAGAAGTGGTTCGAGCAGAGATTCTAAAGCTATTGAAGGCAGGAATCATTTTTGCCATTTCAGATAGTGAATGGGTCGGCCCAGTGCAAGTGGTACCAAAGAAAGGAGGGATGACAGTAGTTTAGAATGACAACAATGAGCTAATTCCAATAAGAACAGTAACTGGCTGGAGGGTGTGCATTGATTATAGGAAATTGAATAAGGCAACTAGAAAGGACCACTTCCCACTGCCGTTCATAGATCAAATGTTGGACAGATTAGCTGGCTACTCTTACTATTGCTTTCTTGATGGATATTTGGGCTACAACCAGATTGCTATAGCACCAGAAGATCAGGAAAAGACAACTTTCACCTGTCCATATGGAACTTTTGCTTACAGACGGATGCCATTCGGGTTATGCAATACACTGGCCACTTTTCAGAGATGCATGATGGTAATCTTTGCAGACATGGTTGAAGATATCATGGAGGTATTTATGGATGACTTTTCGGTGTTCGGTACTTCTTTTGATAACTGCCTTCATAATCTCTCCTTAGTGCTGCAACACTGTGAGGAAAGGAATTTAGTTCTCAACTGGGAAAAGTGTCATTTCATGGTACAAGAAAGTATTGTGCTAGGCCATCATGTTTCGACGATGGGATTGGAAGTGGATAGAGCAAAAATTGATACAATTGAAAAGCTACCACCACCCACCAATGTCAAAGGCATTCGAAGTTTCTTAGGGCACGTTGGATTATACAGGAGATTTATCAAAGACTTCTCAAAAGTAGTAAAACCCCTATGTAACCTTTTGGAGAAGGACATAACGTTCGTATTTGATGAAGACTGCTTACGGGCTTTTGAAACCATAAAGGCAAAATTAGTCACTGTCCCAGTGATGGTAGCACCAGATTGGGATCAGCCATTTGAGGTTATGTGTGATGCTAGTGATTACGCAGTAGGGGTAGTTTCAGGACAAAGGCATGATAAGATTTTTCGGGCAATCCACTATGCCAGCAAAACTCTTAATGGAGCTCAATTAAATTACACAACAATAGAGAAGGAAATGCTGGTAGTAGTGTTTGCATGTGACAAATTCAAATCTTACCTCATTGGCACCAAAGTGATAATTTACACGGACCATGCTGCAATCCGTTATCTCTTTCAAAAGAAGGATGCCAAGCCACGCCTAATTCGATGGATACTGCTACTACAAGAATTTGATGTAGAGATTCGGGATAAGAAAGGCAGTGAGAATGTCGTTGCAGACCATCTCTCATGATTGGAGAATGAAAAGGTGGTGGATGACAGTCAAATTCGAGAAACGTTCCCCGACGAGATCTTGCTAGCTCTATCAACAAAGATCCCATGGTATGCTGATTTTGTTAACTATTTAGTGTCTGGAAGATTGCCACCTGACTTGACCTTTCATTAAAAGAAGAAATTCCTACATGATGTCAAGTCATTTCTGTGGGATGATCCAATCTTGTTCAAAAGGTGTGCTGATAGAATAATTAGGCGGTGTGTCCCTGTGGAAGAAAACATGTGACCGCTGTCAACGTACTAAAAACATTTCAAGACATCATAAGCTACCATTAACCAGTATGCTTGAGGTGGAATTATTTGATGTGTGGGGTATTGATTTCATGGGTCCATTTCCACCTTCCCTTGGTCAAGAGTATATTCTTCTCGCAGTAGATTATGTGTCTAAATGGGTTGAAGCCATTGCCACACCAACAAATGATGCAAAGGTGGTGTTGAAATTTTTACAGAAAAACATCTTCACTCGGTTTGGCACACCTAGAGCAATCGTAAGCAACGGAGGTACACATTTCTGTAACAAGCTGTTCAATTCTCTTCTAGCTAAGTATGATGTCAAGCACAAGTTGGCATTGGGTTATCATCCACAGTCAAATGGGCAAGCAGAGGTGTCTAACAGAGAGATTAAATAGATTCTGGAAAAGACAGTGAATACCAATCAGAAGGACTGGTCTCTCAAACTAGATGACGCTCTTTGGGCATACCAAACAGCATTTAAAACTCCAATTGGAATGTCACCCTACCGTCTGGTATTCGGGAAAGCTTGTCATCTATCGGTAGAATTGGAGCATCGAGCTTATTGGGCTGTGAAGAAATTGAATTTAGACATGAAATTGGCTGGTCCACAACGCTTGTTGCAGCTTGATGAATTGGAGGAATTTCGGAACGATGCATATGAAAATGCAAAGATATATAAAGAATGGACAAAGATGTGGCATGATAAGAGAATATTAAGGAGGAATTTCAAGGCAGGAGAACCAGTTCTTCTATTCAATTCTCGCTTGAAACTCTTTCCAGGCAAGCTCAAATCCCGGTGGTCAGGACCATTTGTAATCCGCAAGGTGTTCCCTTATGGTGCAGTGGAATTAGTAGGCAAGGATGGGTCTACCTTTTAGGCAAATGGGCAATGCCTCAAACATTACTATGGAGAGGAAAACTGGGATGTGGAAGAAATTACCCTTAATGAACCAACTTGAAACCACATCCACGTCTAGCTAAAGACGTAAAAGAAGCGCTTCTTGGGAGGCAACCCAAGCTTTCATCTTTATTTATTTATTTTATTTTTGAATTTTAGGATAATTTATTTTATTTCAGAGTTGTTATTTAGGAATTCATCAACCCTACCCGTCCCTTAGATTTTTGAAAAATGTTTAGTTATTGATGTGTGAGCTAAGTACCACTTGTTCCATGCGTTTAATATCTACATTGTGATGTTCCAGGAACATGACGTCGTAGATCAATCAACAAATATTGACAAGGAGAGGCTGGATACATCTCAAGTTTGGGGGGAACGCTAGAAGAAACATCCATCAAATTCAACATTAGAGCACCAGACCGTCGTTGGCAATTCAGATAATTCAAGGAAGTCCTCCACTTTTTCGGCAATGATTCAGATAATTCAGATAACTCATTTGTGTGAGTTAGATAGCCTTGTCGGCAATGATGTGTATTATTGAGAGCATGAGTTGGTTTATGAATTGTGGACGAGTTATGTGTTCGAGTTAAATTTTTGCTTATTCATGTGAAACGAAAAATTATTTTTGCACGTGAGTTGGTTGTAGCGTTGTGCATGAGTAGGTTGATTCATGTTTATAGGTTGGAATAGAAAACTTAGATGATAAACCCAAATAACCTTTAAACATTATTATACCCTTAAACCAAATATAGGATGTTTGGTAGATTAAGCTGTTGTAGGAAAACTTGGAGATAAATGTGGATTTCGTGTGTGCTAGTTTTTGTGTGGACTGTCTAAGACTAATGGGATGAAAATTGGGTGAAAACCTTAAGTTAAAGGTCAATTTTCGAGGATAGGTGTTTAATAAGGGGCATTGCACTAATCATTGTATATAAAAAAAAAAGATCTCAATAAGGACAACTTTAATAATCTTGTTGTGAAGCATTTCTTTCTAGCCTTTATGACTCGAGTGATTAAGCTTGTAAGAGTTTAAAATCTGGTGCCCTAAAGTCATCTGATTTGGGAGTCATCGGCCTAAAGCTCGCTATAGGGGTCATTTAGAAAGCTTAAGGGGGAGACGTCCGCACAAAGAGTGATTAAAGAATAAATAGATATATATGTAAAAAAAAAAAAAGAGAAAAAGAAAAAGAAAAAAAAAATAGATATCAAATGCCTTGATTAAGCCTCAAACACTTGTTTGAGAGAATTAGACCTTTGATAAGGGGTTTGTAACTTGGTTGATTCCTAGAGGTTGAAGCAGTCAAAAATAAGAAGAGTCCTCATTTGTTGATAAGTTGAACTGTAATCAGTGAAATCTAGCCAAACTTGAGCAGTGTAAGATATTAGCATTGAAAATTAACCTTAGATTACACCTTGGGAAGAGAAAAGAAAACAAGTTTGGGGGTGTGTGAATCCCACGAGCGAAGTAAGGAAATATTAGACTTTTAAGGTCGGGAATTGAGTCAACTTATTATTGTACAACGTTGTACTTAACTCTCCACACACACACCGATTTTGCATTGGATAGATGAGAATTTAACTTTTACATTATAGTTTTGAAGTGATTCATAAAATTGACGCTATGTTTTTAATCCTAAGATAGAAAGGCAAGGTGTCTAACATAATGTGTCTTTAAATGATTTTTTTTGTTTTAGTGTGTTGTGTGCTTGTTAATTATTTTCTTTGGTTTGGTGTTTGCTCGAGGACAAGCAAAATGTTAAGTTTGGAGGTGTTTGATGAGTGATTCTTCACTCATTAAATTAATATCAATTAAGCTTATTATTTATCGAATTATTATAAGTTATGAATGTTTTACCATGTGGTTTTAATGTTTTTGTTAGGGGTAGATACTGATGAAAAAGGAGTGCAAACGAGCCAAGAAAAGAAGAAGTGGTACCACGGGCCCGGGCCTCGACCAGAAAGAAACCCAATTTTATAATAATTTCTGGGCCCAACACGTCTCATATTGTTTCCAAAATTCTAGAAGTTATAAACAACACAGACAAGACCTAATTGAAGGGGAGAGCCACATAACATAAAATCTGTGGGAGTCACCCACGAAGGAAGATTGGAGACGGCAAAAAAAATTGAGAGAAAAACTGTGGGCTGCTGAGGCAAATTGGAAAGGAATTAGAATATATATACCGGCAAGAAGAGAAGAATCTGGGGGATTGAGCCAACAACTTGAAGTGGAGTTTAATTGAAAAAGATTTCGGCCAGCAAATACAAAAGAGTGGACAATCTGGACACATTAAGAAGCTGGACGGCTGGAATTGTTTTGAAGAAAGCTCCACACAAACTCCAAGAAACAAGTGAAAGGCGTGGAAAACTCGAGGGAGAATTCGATTAATTTAATCTTTCTTTCTTGCTTCTTTATGTTTTCCATTATAAATTGTAAAATTGAGGAAGAAGTTTGGAGTACTTTAGGGGATAAAATTGCAGCTGCCGTTAATATACACGTGAAAGCTTAGAAATTGAGGGAAATTACTTGGGGCTGCAACAGCAATATTTTATTTGGAGACAAATTGGAGGCACTTGAGAGTCCCTTTTCAAGTCAATTATTTCGGCTGTTGGGGAGGAATTTGGCTGCCTTGCTGCTGAAATTATTTGTATAAACACAAGAAACCGAAGCAGAGGAAGCAGACACATAAACGGCTGGAGTAAAATTGAAACTAATTGAAGGAAATTGGCAACTTTGGGAAGAAATCACGCCGCAATCAATTAGTTTTTTCTTATCCCTTTCTTCTCATGTTCATGCTTTATAACTTAATTATGTCAATTCTTTCAATTATGCGTTAAACTTTAATCCTATGGTTGATGTAGCCTGCTTTAGACATGTTTTAGTTCCGTTTTAATTATTTCAATTAATCTTTCCGTTTATTTATTTGTGTTGTGCGCAATGCTTTCAATTAACTGCCCACTAATTGCTTGATTTGGTGTTCTATATTTTGGCGCTCGAGAGAGGCAAATTTAGGCGTGATCTAAGACAACATAACCTAGATTTTGTAGGTTTCGAGAGAAAGTGCGAATCTTTGAGGCATGTTTTAATTAAGAATCATGTGCTTGATAATTTTTATGTTTTAATTTGGAGTAGAGATATTGGAATTAGAATATAGAAATAGATTTTATTTGGCGCTCGAGAGAGTGAAATAGAATCACTTTAGTGTTCTTGCCTGTAAATTTTGGAAAGATCGATAGAAATAGTTATACAGGTGAAAAACATTGTCGAAGGTACGGTGAAATCATTCCCTAGGTATTCAAAATTTGATAAGAAACTTCATAATTTGCTCCCATTTACTTGCGTCATTTAGTCCATTTATTTTAATTTAATTTAAAAATATCGTTTCTCATTTTGATCGTCTAAATAAAGTGAGGGCTAAAATAATTATAGTACTCAATTAATTCGAATATCAATCCTTGTGGGTTCGACATCCTTCTTCAAAACTATATTACAAAACATGACACCGTACACTTGCAGTATAAAATCATGTTGCATAAATCACGTGGCAGAAAGCAATTCAAGTGTTAAACAACGTGTCAAAAATCAGTGTACAAATAACAAAGTTTGATTGGTAAGAACCCTGCTACATGTACACTATGGTGTACACTTTAGTTTACACTTTGTCACGTGATACTACTCTGTTGGACAATTTAAATTTCAAAAAGTTTTCCTATCCAATTGATGCTTGACAACAATGCAAGTGTCAAATAACGTGTCAAAAAAGCAGTGTACAAGTAGCAAAGTTCAATCGATAAAAACTTTGCTACATGTACATTGTGGTGTACACTTTAGTTTACACTTTGCCACGTGACATAACCCGATTGGACAGTTGAAATTTCAAACGATTTTCCCATCCAATTGACACTTCACAACAATGCAAGTGTCAAACAAAGTGTCAAAAATCAGTTTACAAATAGCAAAGTTCAATCGATAAAAACCTTGCTATATGTACATTGTGGTGTACACTTTAGTTTACACTTTTGTCACGTGACATTACCATGTTGGGTAACTTAAATTTCAAACAGTTTTCCCATCCAATTGACACTTGACAATAAAGCAAGTGTCAAACAACTTGTCGAAAATCAGTGTACAAATAGCAAAGTTCAATCTGTAAGGACCATGCTACATGGACACTCTGCTGAACACTTTAGTTTACACTTGTCACGTGACATAACCTTGTTGGACAGTTTAAATTTCAAACGGCTTTCCAATCCAATTGATACTTGACAACAATGCAAGTGTCGAACAACGTGTCAAAAAGCAGTGTACAAATAGCAAAGTTCAATCGATTAAAATCTTGCTACATGCACATTGTGGTGTGCACTTTAGTTTACACTTTGCCACGTGACATAACCCTGTTGGACAGTTTAAATTTCAAATGGTTTTCCCATCCAATTGACACTTAACAAAGTGCCAAACAACGTGTCAAAAATTAGTGTACAAATAGCAAAGTTCAATCGATAAAAACCTTGCTATACGTACATTGTGGTGTACATTTTAGTTTACACTTTACCACGTGATATTACCCTGTTGGGAAATTTAAATTTCAAATGGTTTTCCCATCCAATTGACACTAAAAAATAATGCAAGAATCAAACAACGTGTCGAAAATTAGTGTACAAATAGCAAAGTTCAATCTGTAAGGACCATGCTACATGTACACTATGCTGAATACTTTAGTTTACATTTTACCACGTGACATAAGCGTGTTTGACAGTTTAAATATCAAGCGATTCTCCCATCCAATTGACACTTAACAACAATAAAAGTGTCAAACAACGTGTTAAAAATCAGTGTACAAATAGAAAAGTTCAATCGGTAAGAACTTGGCGACATGTATACTATGGTGTACACTTTACTTTACACTTTCCACGTAACATTACATTGTTGAACAATTTAAATTTCAAACAGTTTTCCCGCCCAATTGACACTTGACATCAATGCAAGTGTCAAATAGCGTGTCGAAAATCAGTGTAAAAATAGCAAAGTTCAATCGGTAAAAACCTTGCGACTTGTACACTAAGGTGTAAACTTACTTTATACTTTGCCATGTGACATTACCCTATTGGACAGTTTAAATATCAAATAGTTTTCCCACCCTATTGACCCTTGACAACAATGCAAGTGTCAAACAACGTGTTAAAAATCAGTGCACAAATGGCAAAGTTCAATCGGTGAGAACCCTGCTACATGTACACTATGGTGTACACTTTAGTTTACACTTTGTCACGTGATACTACACTCTTGGACAACTTAAAATTCAAATAGTTTTCCTATCCAATTGACACTTGACAACATTGCAAACGTCAAATAACCTTTCAAAAATTAGTGTACAAATACCAAAATTTAATCGATAAAAACCTTGCTTCATGTACACTATGGTGTACACTTTAGTTTACACTTTGCCAAGTTACATATCCCTGTTGGACAGCCTAAACTTCAAACAGTTTTCCCATCCAATTGACACTTGACAACAATACAAGTGTCAAACAACCTGTCAAAAATCAGTGTACAAACAGCAAAAGTTCAATTGGTAAGAACCTTGCAACA